CTGTTAATATTTTAATGTACTTACTGTTTATAATTTTAATAAGATTAATCACATTGTTTATAATTTTTAGTCTAAATATTATGTAACTTCCACAATTCTCTATCTTTTTGTATCTTGTCCGTTCTAGCACTGAAGAAGACCTGCAAAGTCGGGTCGAAAGGTTGGCTTTTAATAAAATAGTTTTGCCACTATTTAACCTATTTATGACCGTCACCTCGGACCATCTCCTTCCTTTATAATGCAACGGTCAACTATTAAATATTCAATATGATTCAAAAATAAATTATAAGTAAAATAAATAAATAGATGAATAAAAAAATAAAATAAAATATAGATTAAAAAGAAAAAGGTTGTGAAGAAAGAAAAAGAAAAATGATAAAAACATTCAAACTTATTTACAATCAGCCGAAAGAACTCCGATCTTCCGAAATTAAAATTAAAATTTGTCTATATAAGGGTATTTAAACAAATAAAAATACCCACAATGAATTGTAAATAAATATAGCGTCAATCATTTTTACTTTCACTTTCCCTTTGTCTGAAAATACTTATATCTGCTAAAAAGAGGAGGGTAAGTGAAAGTCATGTGCACCTGATTCTTTTTCATATCGTCGATACATATGCTAACTATCGGAACTAAAAATCACAACTCTAATATCGTTATCAATTCAGCCCAAATAACGAGGATATATTAATTCCCACACTAATATGTACCTTTAAGCACGTTTGAAGATTTTGTATTTGCTTTTTAAAAATATTACAATCACTAGAGTGCAGGATTGAAAAGTTTTCATATTCCATAGTTAAGATAGTATGCTTAAACGATTTTCTAAATGACATCAGATGACTGAATGGTCGAAAATGGCTGAATGGTTGGGCTGTGGGTCACAGAGTACTCGGTTCTATAAACGTTGTAGGTTCGAGTTCCACCTGGGTTGATTAATACTTATTTCTCGGTGGTCCAAGAAAATGAATATCCACATTCCCCCTCTGGTAAATACGCGGCGGCATCATCAAGGTTAGTGAAACCGATTATTAGCCTCCCTTGTCGGATTAGCTCCGCCCTCCCCCGGTACCAGTACCAGTAAATGCCGTTAGATAATATATATATATATATATATATATATATTTATCTGAATATACGGAATATGTTTTTACAAACATATTTCCAAACGACTTCTCAGAATAATATACAACAAAAAGAACCTTGCGTGGCTTGGAATTGATGAAACGCTGAAAGAAGAGAAAGTTAATGCGCCTGCTTAATTTATGTGGTTGCTTACTTTATTGGAAGTGACAATTGAACAAGATTAATGCATAGTCAGTTAGTTAAAGGCAAGTCTTTAAATAAGCCCAAGCATTATCATACATACAAATGAGCGTTGAATACTCGAAGCAAAAAAGTCCTCAGTCAAGAAGTAGCTTACCTTGCAAGGATTCGAAGACTATATACGCGATACTTCCATTCCCTTCTGCAATAAACACGTTTCAAGATAATGTACATCATAAATTAGTTTAGTATCATTGTAATTGAGAAATACTCATTTGTCTTTTTACTTGGTAACACTTTCAAGGTTTCATGGTTACACAAGAGACAAAAAAGGAAGTTTGAGATCAAACTACATCGGTTGTTGAGGATTATGGCAAATTTTATAATAGAAAAATCAAAAATATAAAGCCAAAATATGTTGCCCAAAGTCGGTCTTGGTCTTGCTAAATGCAAGACCAAGACCAAGGCCACTTGATTATTTGCAAGACCAAGACTAGGACTGGTAAAAAAAAAATCCATTTTTTTAATAAAAATAAAGGTAAAATAGTTAGTTACTAATACTTGACAATCTTAATTACTGTATGTTAATAATTGGTATAACCAATATACTTTTTCATTTAACTCCTGTAATTTTCCATTCGGGCATAGTTAGGTTTCTCCTATCTAAAAAATTACAGTGATATCTTTATAGTAATAAGCTAATAAGTATCTACAAGATGTTGCGAGACTCTTGCGCAAGACCAAGACCATGATCAAGATTGAGTTTGCAAGACCAAGACTGCCTCGGTCTCACATTTGGGCAACACTAGCCATGAGTCTCCAACATACCTATAGTTGAAGAGTTAATCTGCCAATTTTCCACCAAAGCATCATCAGGACACAAAAAACAAGATCAAATATAGGCAGAAAGAAAGAAGAAGAAAACATTCGCAATAGACATCTCACGAAGCCAACCAAATACATACTGAAGGAAACAGAAGGTTCCATTAAGACAGTAGAAGGAGGTTATATTCAACAGCTGACTAGATGGAATACAAGAAAAAACAAAACAAAATAATAATAAATACAAAAGAAAAGGTTCAAAGGTATATATAACATATATTCCCAAGAAAATTCAGTAGCTTCATCTCCCCATAACCAGAAAATATTTCATTTACGAAAACTCTTGTAATTGGGGCATTTTCAATCTGGAGATCAGCAAACTCTGTCTATTTAATTATATACTAAAAACTCGTAAATACCCATTTGCTTTCCACTTGAATCTTAAGATAATTTGATACCAAAATCAATAAAAAGGGCAGCCTACAAAAATATTGGGCAGTTTGGCCTTTATAACCTCGTTATTTGGACAATTTGGTGGTTTAAGTCACGCCAAACGGTTTAATATTTTTAAAGCCCACAGTTTTTCTAGACTTTGAAAGTGTGAAAACCTCCGGATTGAAAACGCCCCATTTCCAAGAATTTTCGCAAATAAAATATTTGTAGGTTACGATGAGATGAAGTTATATACAAAATTTTTAGCCGGATGTTAAAAATTAGATAAAAAGGGATCTGTACCACGGACTAATATACTAAATCAAAATATGTTCTATTTTTTAAACTATAATGAAAACAGAACTACTAAATATAATCATGTGTATATTAAAAGAAATGGTGGCCGCATCACATAACTTTCATTTACTGCTTTGAAAAGAAATTCTTGTCTGGATAAATTGGGCAGTTACGAAATGTTTTTGAAGTGCATGTTTACTGGAGATATATCTTTAAAAACATATATGTGTGAATTTCGATCATATATATCAATGCAAAAACTCAATAATACCATCAAAAGAACACAAACCCTATTTATTATATCGAAGTTAGGCAATAAAAACAATGTCAGACAATTGTCATTAAATTATGCATTGTAGTTACCCTAAATTTGCTTTTCTTCTTTATTCTTCTTCTTCTTAAAAACTTCATTAGGAACGATGTATATTTGGTTTTTCAGTATCGATATACCATTTCTAACTTGAAGGAGGAGATATTTATAGGCGGAAGGAAATACCTTGCAATGAGTGATAAAATAATAAGCTGAACTGTTAGGGTTCGTTGAAGTCCCGAGCGCAATGAAATATATCTCCGCTGTTTACCTTCTTCCAGCGGCCATCTGGCAGGGTTGCCAACACTGGCATTATTTATAACCAACCTACCTGCACAATGTCTGGAAACATTCCCAAATAATAGAATCTTCTGGCTTACTTGCCTGAAATCTAACTTGCTAAGTTCAACATTAAGTGAAGAAACTTATTGATATTAAATAGATATGAAAAAAAAGGTTTGGTAATGATTTGTCACAAAGTACTAAAAAAAAAAAAATCATACTTATTATTGTGTTTCAAAGATTTTGCATAACGTATTCAGAAAAATAAATGGAAAACTAAATTTATTTTAATTATTCTATTAATATATGACTTGCCTACGCACATTGAGAGCTCCTTTCTCTTCTAGCTCTTTCTCGTTCTCTTGTAGTCATCTGTTTTGAATAGGAGTTATAACATTTATCAGCCGTGGATCGATCCAGAGTTCGGGAGATCCTCATGAGACACACTCAGTCTCTATAAAGGGGGACTTGTAATTAAATAATTAGTTAAGGGGAAATCCCTGTTGGTTGAGAGTGATCTCGGTCAAATCACCTCCTCGCACAACCGTTGACCTAAAAAAAACAGTACTTCCTTATACAGTACTGGTATACAACCCCTTCAGGGGTTATAGTGGTACAGGGTTTTTTTTTCGAAACTTTCCAAAGAAAACAGACATCAAATAAGACAGCTCATTACTTCAAGATATCACCTCATATACTGAAGATATATATGAATTGCATGTTTATATTTAATACAAGTATACATAGAGCAGAAGTCTCTAATCTACGGCCCGTGAAAGTCCATTTAAATACAAGGTAATTTGTATAAAAATATTTACAAAATATAAAATTTAGTATAGTTCTCAAACACAAGGTTACAACTTAAAACTTGTATAGCAAGAGTTTCTTCAAAAAAAACTCTTTTCGTAATACCTTCAAAAATATATCCCAGTTTTTGACTAAGTTCGTTAAATTTCAGCGTTTTTGACTATAGCACTTACAAACCACTATTAAGTTGTGGTTAAAAAAATAAAATAACGTACCATTCAGGAGTTTAAAAAAAATTAATTCAGGGATAAATAGAATCGAGGTGGTCCATCATATAATTTTTGTTTTTTATATGTTTCTGCACACATATAAAAGTTTAAAAAAATGAAAACTTCTAACATATTTAAGTAATATTACAAGAGTTTCGATAAACCGACAAGCCTAATATATTTTAATGAGTAGTCATATTAGCCCCTAGCTCTTCGCTTTGATTGGTTAATAGTAAATTTATTGGTTGAGTAAATGCCACTAAGTAAACATGAACTTTTTCGACATAAACAAAAAAAAAAAAATAATAACTAGCGTCTTGATTGTCTATCATCCACGATATGTTTCTGAAACTTCCTACGATGTTTCTGAATTATTATTACAGAAAAATGTATCGCTAACATCGATAAGTGACTTTCAATGTTTTTGAACATTGATGTACCAGCTAAGCATTCCCACAGATCCGCATCCAGCTAGCGAGACACGTGACAAACATTTTTCGTCCGTGATTCGCCCAAAAAACATCATCAAGATCATTGCCTCCCCCCTTCAGAGTCCATCAGGTCTAGCAGATTATCGCAGCCCTACAAGATCCATCCTGAATGAGACAAGACCCGAATGATGGAGCTGAGGTGTCCGTACGCCACCCCCTGTAGCTGTCACAGAAAGAGAAATAAACAGGGTGTGAGGGAGGTTTTTCAAGCTGTCCCCGACTCCTGTCTTGGCCGCCGCTATCAGATGAGCGGGTCGGGAGGTGAAATTCCTCAAATCGCTCCCGTAATGAGGGCCTCTTCCAGATGCTATCTCCCCGCTTACAAATTGTCCCTCCCAGCTCAAGATATTCGGAGCATGCCACCTAGCGACAGGATTAGAAACCACCCTTGCTCGGTACCGATTGCACCTTATTTCTACTTTTTGTAACACCTTCCTTTCTTGTAATTTATAATTTATTGCTGGCCGGTCGGAAAAAGCGGCTAATAACAACGAGTTGGTGATGCGGAATGCGATAAGGCATCGGGTCGAGATTCTCCTTCATAAGAAGAAAACGAAATCTAGGAGTGTCCGAGGGGAATTCTTTAAATGGAGAATGTAGGCGGTTTTTACTACGCAAGGCCGATCGAAAATCCCTAAGCTATTTTAGTTGGAGCTCAACAGTAACTTTCCTTAAAATTACAAAATATTTATAGTCAGAGAACAATCAGACATTTTTTTTTTTTTTTGCTTGTTATTTGGCAATGATTACTTCCAATTAACAACAATTGAATATATTTGTTGTATTATCAAAATTGCTTGTTTACAACTTTATGTTTCGGGATATTTACTCCTATCTTCAGAAACACAATCCCAATTAAAAAATTAACTTGACAATACATTAAAGGCATTATCAAGAAAGATAGTGGATAGGTCCTACCCAGGAATGGAAGAGCTGTAGAATAATAAATACAATGCCACCAATTATTTAAATAAAAACTCCGGTGTGTCCACTCACATGACTTTCCAGCCGAATTTAAGCATTTTTTTTTTTTCAATTTTAAATATGTTCATTAAAAATAACACAACTGAATTAGACAAATTTCTCTGATAACCGATCAGAGAAATCATTAGAGTAGGATTTCTTGGATAAACTAAAGTAATGTAAACGGGTAAGTTAACAATTATTATAATCAGTGTATAATAAGTGTATTATAGTGATAACGTTGATAAAATTAGTCCGATTTTGACGATTTTTGCATAGTTTTGTCGGAAATTTAATAACGTTTTAAAAAATATTTAACTACATACTATAGAGATATTACTGTCATTTTTCAGAATAGAGAAACCTAAATGAACAGCAAATGAAAAATTAAAGGAGTTTAATCAAAAACTACATTGGTTCCACCAATATTTTTTTAAATTTATTTATTGAGTATTACAACAATCTGTCACATGGACACTAGTTATAGTGAGGTAGGATAACATTTGCACTTTATGTACAAAAAATATAAAATAAATAGAAGCAAAATAACAATAAATAATAATCAAAAAGTATATACAATAAATAAAATAAAATAACCTAAAAATAAGAAAATTAAAATTAAGAAAAAACACATGCATACCTACATACACTAATCCACCAATATTAGTAAATCTTTTGCCTTATAGTCCTTGTTACAGACTTCTTTTTATCAAATTACTAACATTCGCCTGGAACTTCGTAAATAGAGCTTCATCTCATCATAACCTAGAAATATTTTATTTACGAAAACCCTCAGTATTGGGGCTTTTTAATACTAGAGATAGTCAAACTTTGTTTATTTAATTAGGCACTAAAAACTCGAAATTGTCAAAAGTGTAACCAATCACTAACGATAAAACATATTTTGGAAGAATGCCCTTTTTACACCGCAAGATTAAAAGATTTTGGAATACCCCAGAATATATCAGCATCCCTGGGAAATCAAGAAGAAATCGTTACCAAAGTCATAAAGTTCCTGGATAGTGAAAGACTTAAAAAACACATTTGACAGGCTTTTTTTATTTATTAATTTTTTTATCTATTTATTTTTATTATATTTTCTCCTATTATTATTTATTTCTTTATTTTTTCACTTGATTTCATTTCATTTTAAATTCATTAGTTTATTAATCTCAATTCATTTATTGATTCTACTGCTATTTTTTAAAGTTTATTTATTTATATATTTTTTGTACATCTTATTACCTATATATGTCTATTGTTACCCTTGTTTATTTATTTTATTCTATCAATCCATTTCTTTGTTTATTTTATTTTCTTTTATTTTTTATTTTCTTATTATTTTTTTTATTATTTTATTTTATTTTTTTATTTATTTATTTTTTTTTAATTTATTTATTTATTTATTTTTTGTACCAATCATCCAAATAGTATTAAATGATGTTATTTAGTTGATCGGGCGCTTATGACCTGGATGTTTTGCGCCTAGACATCGAAACAAACAAACAAAACTCGAAATCGCCCATCTGTTTTCCACTTGAATCCTAAGAAAATTTTAGTGCCAACTCAAGAAAAAAGTTGGCCTTCAAAAATATTTAACCGTTAGGCGTGACCTACACCCCCATATTGTCAAAATAACGAGGTTGTACAGTAAAAACAGTCCAATATTATTTAGGCCATTTTTCCCCCTGAATTTTAAGATAAAATTATTCTACGATCCAAGTAGAAAGCAATTGGGTACTTACGACTTTTTAGTATCTAATAAAAGATACAATGTTTGCCCCCTCCATATTGAAACCGCCCCAATACCAAGAGTTTCCGTTAATAAAATGGTTGTAGGTTACGATGAGATCAAGCCATTTGTGGAATTACGATTTATCCACTTAATTTTGTTGGCAATGGATGTTAAATACACCTTCGAGCTATTTCTCTTATATTTATTAAGTTTTTTTTGTTTTTGTTTTTTTATTTAACAAATTTTAGTTTAACATTACAGACCCTGTAATCCAATTATTTGTACTACATAAACTATAATGTTACCCTCTGCTACCTTAAAGCTTATGTGGAACATCCTAACCCGACCCTCTCTCTCACTTATCTACCTATAGTCTGTGTTACAGACCCCTTTTTATCGAATTATTAACGTCCGCCTGAAACTTTGTAAACAGTTTCATCACATCGTAAACTACAACTATTTTATTTACGAAAACTCTTAGAATTGGGGCGTTTTCAATCTGGAGGGGGGCGAACTCTGTCTATTGATTTGGGTACTCAAAACTCGTAAATAACCATTTGCTTTCCACTTGAATCTTAGGATAATTTGATCATAAAATCGATAAAAAGGGCGGCTTACAAAAATATTGGGCCGTTTGGCCTTTGAAACCTAGTTACTTTGACAATTTTGGAGTATAGGTCACGCCAAACGGTTCAATATTTTTAAAGGGCACCTTTTTTCTCGACTTTGCGCTCAAGTTATCTCACGCTTCACTGTAAATCAAACGGATATTTACGAGTTTTTAGTAACTAATTAAATATAAAAAGTTTGCAGAAATCCAGATTGAAAACGCCTCAATTCCGAGAATTTTCGTAAATAAAATATTTGTAGGCTACGATGAGATGAAACTATTTACGATGTTTCAGGCGGATGTATATAATCTGATAAAAAGGGCTCTCTGCCACTAATATAGTTAATCGAAATAAGTTCTATTTTTTAAATTATAATGAAAATAGAGCTACTAAACATAATTATGTATATATTTTTAAAAAATGGTGGGCGCATCACATACTTTCAATTACCACAATACTTTGAACAAAAATTCACAAAAACGCATTTTTCCTTTCTTTTTTTTTTTGGCCAGTCTTAGTCTAGGTCTTTCGTTACTTTTTGCAATAAACCGACGATATACTGCCGTTTAACCAGAAACTTCATAGCGATACCTTGATAAAGTGATATCACGATATACAATAACAGTAACACAAGGATGATAGCGCAATCGGTTAGGGAGGGGGGAGGTTAAGCCGGACTTTAGGTGAAGTTAATAAGTCCGGGCCAACTTCACCGCTGGCTGCAGCCGCTGGTGCTATAATTACTTGCTTGGCAATAAAGTCTCGACCAATGAGAGTTTTATGGTCTTTAATGCATTTTACAGAATAGGCCATTTTTTAGTCCTCCATGAGACGGTAGCGAAGAAACAGAAAACGAACAAAAAAGAATAAAATTTTCTGGTTATGAAGTCCGACGTCGCAGCCAATCATTCCTCGGTAATATTTACCTCGGACGAAAATATATTTCAGAAATTTATATAATAATGTATTTCTGCTTTATATAACTATATAATTTGAGCAATGTCTATCTGCAAAATGGATCTGAATATCCTGTGCACAGTGGTCAGTATTTCTGATTAATGTGAACACGGAAATAAATTTTTGAAAAATTATTTGTTATGCTGCAGCAGCGAACAATGTAGTGATGTGCGAAACTGTTAACAGTTTCTGCTACTTTCAAAAAACAGTCACAAAGAACAGTTATAAAAAAAAACTGTTTTCTGATACCGTTACACTATTTTAAAAAGGTATGAATATAATTTTTATCTCCTAAGTGATTATCGATTTAATTGTTAAATTAGTTCCGTATTATATCATATTTTAAAGATAATAAGTAAATTTATTGATGAAAATAGTTATTAAATAAGAAAATGAGTTGGTAAAACTGTTCATTTAATATAAACTCCTTAGCTGTTTAAAAGTTGCAACAGTGCGATGGCCGGTGTTTCATTGAAACAGTATTTAAAATACAGTAGAGCTATTGCAAGTTGAAACAGTATCTGTATCTGTTTCAGAGAGCTGTTTAAATTAAACATCTTTTTGTATCTGTTTCAGAAAACGTTTACGTATTTGTTGCAAGAAGCTGTTTAATGAAACAGGATTCTGTATCTTTTTCGGAAAGCTGTTTAATTTAAACAGATTAAGTGTTTACCTCATTTCCCATCGGTTTCGTTGTCTTTACCTATTAAACCTAAAAGTAAGGTGGTTTGGGTAAGTTCCTAAACTCACCGTTGAGTTCATCGATGGCTTCGTTTTGCTCAGTTTGGAGATCTATTCGAAAGCATCGATGAGTTCAGCGCTGATTGTAAGAACCTGCCCCTTCCTAATGGCAGGTAATCCTTGTATCTGTTTAATCTGGGGTCTGTTTAAGCTGAAGTCTCTCTCCCCAAAATAAAAATAATAAAAATTACTCTAAAAGTATTATTCGTGTGATTACATTTAATAGGACTTCAAGAATCACTTAAACGCCTTTTGGTATAGGTAGTTAGTTCCTTTCCTTTTTTTCCAAAGTCATTATCATTATTTTTAAAAGAAAAATTATTTCGTGCTGAAGCAGCCCCCTCCCCAAAAAATTGAAATCCTGGATTCGCAAGTAGGTTACGATACCTATTTCGTAAAAGAAACTGTTTAAATTATACATATTGCTACTAAACACCCTTTCACTAGATCAAAGTATATGAATTATGGAGTTCAGAGAAGTATGATGGACGGCGGGATATTTCAAAAATTATTTTGTGGATTTTGGATTTGAAAATGTTATTTGAATTTTTTTTTTTTTTTTATGTGCAATGACAGAAATGTATATTTTTCTCTCTTAAGATTGATTAGAGGAAATTTAAAAAAAAAATTTGGTAATCTCTCTGAAGTGAATAACACGATGACTCATTTCCTATATTTTTTATCTTTTCGAATTGTTTGTTAGCTTAAAATTAGCTATGTTCGTTGTCTTTCCTCGATGAATCATTCATGTTATCAAATTTACAGAAGGTGTGGTGCGCCGTTGGAGAATCTGTTTACAAATTGTTTGAGCTCATTTCCTATTCTGGGATTCAATTTATTAGTAAATATGATATTTAGAGTGTTGATTTCATTAATCTGAAAACAGAGATATAATTTGCAGGTTATATATTTCATTTTTTTTTTTTTAATTCCTCTCTCCTTATCTCCTATTGTCCCTCGAGACCGACCTATTAAACTAAAAGAGGAATTTAAAGAAGCTTTCTGTTCGCTTTACAGAGCTTGTAGATCTTTTTCTGCCTTGACCAGCCCGCTCCATTTCTGTCTATCTTGGGCTATTTCGTTCAAGTTTACCTGTATGTAGTTCTACAGCATCTTCGTTTATACGATCTTTCCATCTAGTTCTATTTTGCCCTTCCACATGATATCTTGCCAATCATATAACGAGACATTTATTGTTGTATAGAGAGAGACTTCTTGATGCATTGCTTCACAGGCGGATCTACCAGGGGGGGAGGAGCTTTCGGTCTGAACCCCCACCCCCCCGAAAAACGATAAATTATAATCATGTTTTACTGAAAAAAATATTAAAAACAATCTCTTAAAGTATGCTTGTTCGTGTAATTATATTTACTAGAACTTCAAGAACCACTTTAACACCATTGGATATAGGTAGTTAATTATTTTCTTTTTTTTAAAATTAATTATCGTTATATGTACATGAAAAAAAATATTCGAGCTGAAGAAGCGACCCCAAAATTAAATCCTGGATCCGCTAGTGCCTTGCTTTGAGCTTCATGTACCGCCCAGCTTAATCTTCTTGTTTGAAATATGTAAATATATATATATATATATATATATATATATATATATATATATATATATATATATATATATATATATATATATATATATATATATATATCAATTAAGAAATCAAGAAGAAATCGTTACCAAAGTCATCAAGTTCCTGGATAGTGAAAGACTTAAAAAACACATTTGACAGGCTTTTTTATTTATTTTTTTTAATCTATTTATTTTTATTATATTTTCTCCTATTATTATTTATTTCTTTATTTATTTATTTTTTCACTTGATTTCATTTCATTTTAAATTCATTTGTTTATTAATCTCAATTCATTTATTGATTCTACTGCTATTTTTTAAAGTTTATTTATTTATACATTTTTTATACATCTTATTACCTATAAATGTCTATTATTATCCTTATTTATTTATTTTATTCTATCAATCCATTTCTTTGTTTATTTTATTTTTTATTTTCTTATTATTTTTTTATTTATTTTTTTTAATTTTTTATTTATTTATTTTTATTTTTTGTACCAATCATCCAAATAGTATTAAATGATGTTATTTAGTTGATCGGGCGCTTATGACCTGGATGTTTTGCGCCTAGACATCGAAACAACAAACAAACAATATATATATATATATATATAAAGATGTTCCTTGAATGGTAAGTTTTAAAGGTGGAAACATTATTCTAAGCTAATAGTATAAGACATCCAAGGCTAGGATATTAGGCTAGTATAGGAGTTTGGCGCTGAAATGACATGATGTAGCGGCCTTAAAAATTACGACGAAAAAGAAATAATATAAATTAAAAATAAAAATGGTGGTTATGAAGTTTAAAAGTGACCTTTTCCACAAGAGGACAACGTTATCTATATCCAGTCACGTATCGAATCGATATTGTACAATTGAATAATATATTCGTTGGCATTCGATTTTATGATTGCCTAAATCATATTAAAATATACTTTTCATTTATAAGCAAATAAACATTAAACTATTCTTATAAGAGTTAACTTTATTAAGCTCTCCTAAGCTTACTATCTTTATCAAGCTCTTCATATTGATAAATCAAATTATTGCACCCTGGCTTCAAACGTTTTGGGGATAGCTCAAATTTGGCCCCGAATCTTTAACAGGTAGTCGACTACAGCCCGGCCTATTGGTGTTAAATAGAAGACTGACTGTACAAAATTTGGCGAAGTTCGTAGGAATGATAAATGATTTACCATAAACATATAGGGTTTAAAAGAATTTTAACTATAAGGTACAACCAAATTAGGCAAGGATGAAATGAATGAAATGTGCCAAAAGAACAACTATAAATTATTGTAAGATTTATGAAAAATAAATTCCCGAAATTCTTATTCGGACAAGCTCGGCAAGGGAAGTTATAAAGGTTTTTTTTTTTTTTTAATTTCTTTATTGAATTTTATCATAATCTGTCGCAACTTTAGTTATAATAATACGGAAGTTCATTTGTATACACATGTAAACAAGAAAGAAACTTAAACTAATTACAGTAACAAATTAAATGCAAGCATATTTATATACAATATTTACAAACATTCATTCAGGAGAACCTCGAGCTAAGCATTTCCTTTCCCCCATTACGTCGAGAGAAAGGAAGGACTCCAAGAGATCCCAACGCATCTCTCAGCCGCACCACTGGCATTTATGACTGAACTGAATTCATTATCTTTAGTTAAATTCCTCAATGTTTTTGTATGAAAAGACTGTAGTTTCCGCATGTATTCGTTTTGGCTTTTCCGTATATGTGTGAAGTAGAGGTCCATATGAGTTAAGTAGATAAATGTAAATGTTGTTTCCTTATGTTTACTTCATTAGTTCACACTTTGTAACCGTTATTATTATTTGTTTCTTAGTTCTTGTTATTGTCATTATTCCACCTACTTTATTTTACTTTAATGTTCACTTATCTACTTCACTTTACTGTAAGTTTTTATTCCTACATTGTTAATGTTTCTCATACCAATTGTTATCTGGTTCTTATCTCAGCCTTGATGAAGGAGTGAACTTCGGGTCGAAACTTCGGCCAATGTTAAAGTAACTATTAAATTTTCTAGTCACATCCTTCAGGTTTGATGCCATTTTCTCATAATTTTTATATATCTATTTTAGGCCAAAAGTCACCAAATATACACTGTTTTTTTTTTAATCTCATATATTATTTGATCTATGAGATAAAATAAAACGCAAAATAAATAAAGTAAAAAGCGAAATAAATAAAAGAATATATGAGATAAAAACAACTGTGTATATTTGGTGACCTTTGGCCTAAAATAGATATATAAAAAATTAAAATAAATATTATTATTTATTTTTAACTGGTTGCCCCAACTATCCTTCTCTTCATTATTCATTACAGTCAACCATCAACCCACAATTATATGTTGTTTCCTTTTTTTTTTTATATGTTGGCAACATATCAAACTTCAGTCCAAGATATTGCACTTTATCTGTTTTATATTAATTTTTATTAGAAGTAAATAGTACAAATTTTAAAACAGTGTCCCCCCCTGATTTATACACAACTTTCTCTCTCCAAACCGAATACCAATCAACTTTTTCTTTGATTAACAACGGATCTTGAAGTTATATTCTTTCCAAAGTAGCCCTTTGAAATTTCAATATGTTTTAATTACTATTGAAATAATTAGTGATTTTAGGAACTATGTGCCGGAAATAACGAATTTCTTAATTTCTTTTTTAAAAAATATTGGTTTTGATTTTACAATTGAGATAGAAAATATTTTTTTTGCTGTACTGGAATATTTTCAAAGATGTTTAAGATTGGTTATTCCGTTGCAAGACCAAGTTCACCAAGACTGGTAAAAAAAAAAATCTATTTTTTGAATAGAAATTAATTAATGTAAAGAATTGGTATAACCAATATACTTTTGCATTTAACTTTTTCAATTTTTCATTTGGGCTTTGTTAGGCTTCTCCTGCTTGAAAAACTAGAGCGATATTTCTTTGGTAATAAGATAATAGGTAACTGCAAGACTGTTACCACTGTTAAGATAAGAGGCTCTTGTGCAAGTCCAAGATCAAGACTAAGACTGAGTACGCAAGACCAAGACGAGTCTTGAGTCATTTGATGAAAACTAGAAATAAACGACTCATCTGTAAAACAGCGCATCAGTAAAAAAAATATGTAGACATATTATTGCCTATAAAAGGAAATGATTATTAAGTTGTTTTTTTTTTCTCAAAACAGAGCGATATAATATTGTGCCAGTTATTGGTTAATTAGTTGTGACAAGCCAAGCTCCTTAAAGGCCAATGGCGTAACAGCGATTCCAGAAGCGATAATGTTCGCCCGGTTTTTTCTTCCATCTCTAGCGGCACCCTCGTTGGTAAAGTTCCATATAGGGTCGTTCACGAACGGCCGCATGCCCGGTCTGAAAAAAAGGCCAACAATCACCATCCAGCGGCTGGATCTGGCTTCGTTATAAATTTGTTTCCATCATGAGGGAAAAGATCTGGAGAGAGAAAGAGAGAGGAAGAAAAAACTTTTCAAGAGTTCCATAATTCAGGAGAGTAGGCGCACCGGGATTGGTTATTCATGCGGAGGAGCCGGCCAATGAGGATCGAATACCCTTCCCAGGAGCATCCAATCATTAGCCGTGCGGGGACCAATCAGCTGTGAGCAATAGTCTAATTTATTACCGCACTGATGACATTTAATGGTTCGAGAGTCCTGGCTCTATCTTGATGGATAAAATATGGCGAGGGTTAGCCGCAATATTTCCACATCGCCGGATCAGCTCTTGAGAAGAGAACCACTTTTTTTTTTTCTTCATATTGAGAATAACCCTCCGGAACTGCGGCACAGAGAGACGATTAAGGCGAAATTTTCAAAACAACAGAAATCTGGATAACCAGTCATATTGTGTAATTTATTTTTATTATATTTAATCTATGATTATTTATTTATAAAAAAAACTTTTAATCGCACAGTATTTTATTATAATTTTTAACCAGCAAAGAAAGGTAATCTGGGCCTGGAGGACCGGACCTGAAGAGGACTACCGAATTCTTCATTGTAGTACCTGACCTAGTCATATAAAGAAGAAAGCAGAAGAAGAAGAAACATGTTTAAAATACTTAAAAATTAATACTTTTTAACGTTTTGGCTCCAAGAGCCATTTTCAAAAATTATTTTTCTTAAAAAAGACAAACAAACTAATTTGTATGCTTTAGACCACACGATAGAAGTAAAAACATCAAAAAGGGGAGATTAATGTTTCATTACACACATTACATTGTTTCACGATTTTTTCACTCGACAATATATCTTTAGGTTTTCGGCTCCCTGACACGGTCTCGCGTTAAGATAGATACAATTTTGAATAATAGCTCATTACAAAAAGGATGCAATGTTGAACAATTCCCTCACTTACTATATGCAGGTCCGATTTTTAGTTTCGGAGATTTTAACCCATACCTTTAATAATAAAACTCGTTATAATTTGGTTTTCGACACTCTTTTTTCCTTTTCGCCTCTCTAGCACTGCGTCGCGTTAAGATATAATTTTGAATAATAGCTCATTACATGGAGAATGCTATATCGAACGATTTATTTGCTTATAATATGCAGGTCCGGTTTTTAGTTTACAGATATTTTAATCCATATATTATTATTATTATATTACCCGAGTGTTAACACTTCAGAAATCTAACTGATCAAGAAATCTAATTCCATTTCCACAAAGAAGTGCAAAACGCGCCTAAAGAAGTTCTCACTTAAAAATATTACAAAAAAACATTAATCATGTTAAAAACATGACTTGGATAGTCTGGATAACAATGGAGATAAAATGAGGATGATGAAGAGAGAAAGGATTATGGATCAAGTTTTTGATAAAATGAGAGAGATATTGTGGATTTTCGAATGAGGATGAAAAATAAAACAGAGCACTTTATATATAATAAAACAAGTATTACCGTTGAAAAAAAAAATTTTGTTTCCTTTGTCGATTATATTTATCAATAAAGTAACAATTGATTTCTTTATCTTTTGATACGTTGCATTATTTTATTTTATTATTAATATGGCATTTGAAAACAATATGCTGTGCGAATTTTTCGCACGTGCCTACTAGTTATTATGAATTACAGATATAGATGAATGCGTACTATAGCCGATATACTGAATATAAATCGAACCTATGGAGTTCCCATTTCAACTCTCCCGAAACGAGACAGTTGGCCGTTTAATTAAGACGTCCGTTCGGGTATTCTTCACCTTAGGGGATGGAGTTTTCTTCAAAGTCCCGAGGAAGGAGGCGGGGTTCATTATGGAAGTTATGGTTCCTGCGGAGGTATTTCTCCAAGGGATGGGAGGAGAGGATTCGAAGCACGAGCCGGCGCTAATGAAACATGTTGCCATCATATTGCCAAGTAAGAAATGAGCAACTTAGGGCTAGGGCTCATAAGGGCTACCATCTATCTCTCGCCGAAAAACCTCCCTCCCTCGCCTTCCGAATACTAATTTATATTTAGCGCCTTATCTCACCCCCCGAGGTCCCTCGCTCTTAGTCTCCCCGCCCTATCTAATTGAAAATCTGAGCGGTCGTAATTTTGCGCCAAACGTTAAGGTGTAAAAACGGAACGATTTACGACCGTCCTTCCGATCCAAGTAAATACCCACCTCCTCGTATAAAAATAAAAAAGGCCAATGCGATTCAGATACCCGAACCCCATTCACAAATAATGAAGTGTTAGTACTTTTTTTTTTTGTATTGTAATGAAATCTACAACTGTATTAAACAAAAAATACAACAAGTAAATGTGACATTGGTAACATGACATGTACAACATGAAGAGAAACTACGCATTGGTAGACTTCAATTTAAAGTTCTATATTAGAAGGTCCCGAGGCCATATTCTTTTCAGACGCCTCGGAAGGTTATCAGGGATCGAGGAGAAAGCAAGGTTTGAAACGAGAGGGCTCGAATGGTTCTGCAGTTTGTTATGGAACAATAGGTATCTGGATTGGGCCAAATCGGAAACATATGGAACATTAATATGTTTATGGATAGTTTTATTTGTGACAAAGTGAGGAGCATTAAGGATTTTACGAAGGATTTCTGATTGTAAGGATTGGATACGAGAGGAATTCATTGGTTTAATGGAGCCCCAAAGATAAATTCCGTATAAAGTCCAAATAGGTCTTATTATTGTCATATATATGAGTCTATTGTAATTGATTGAGAGCTTAGAGCGTTTGTCTAGTAAGTGCTGCAGTAGTCGAAAACGTCGAGCGGTTTCTAGTCGTTTCAGTCTGGTATGGGGGTTCCAAGAGAGTCGTTTGTCAAGGTGGAGTCCTAGGTATCGAATTTGTTTGACAGGGATAAGAGGGCTATTGTTGTAGGATGCTGTAGGATAGGAAGCCATAGGTTTACGACGAAGAGTGAAGGTAATTTGATGGAATTTATTTTAATCCTCCAGTTTTGACACCATTTTTCAAGACTTGTGATGTGTGATTGAAGAGTTTGGGATGCAATAGATGGATCGTTATTAACTGATAGGATACACGTGTCATCGGCATTCGTTCAATATAATTAAATTTTAAGTAGACCATTTTTTTTTGTGTGTGAGAAAACAGTGATTAAATTAAGGTCAATGATAAAAGGAACTTTCTGGTCTCCTGTGGCCGCTGGACGAAGTTATGCTGTTCATTGGTACTGAAACAGCAGAAGTACAGCTGCCGTATTAGAACTCCTAAAACCCCTGTTATCATTGAACTTATTAAATTTAAAACAGGGATGCCCATCGACCTCAAGATCGATAGTGCAAGAACATATCTTCCCCATGGTATTATATTGCTCATCTTTTTTTAAAAACAGAAGAAGCGATTACAAAATCATATACAATTACACTTGCTACAGTCTGTTCCATAATTTGCCCTTTATACTCCTTTTTGTAGATTTCGGTCATTATTAATTTAATTTTAATTTTATTAATTTTTTGTTGTTATTAATAAATCTTTTTAATAATGGGAGTTTGTATCTGCATGATTTTTTTTTTTTTTGGTGATTCAATTGATATTTTATTGCAGTTCCTAATAATTCGATTATTTTGAGAAAATATGTCAAAACTATATTTATGTTAATAATGTTTTTTAGTGCTAAACAGTGCAAAAATATTTACATTTTATATTGTAGCTATTAAAACCATTAAAACTCTAATATTTCAATTCAATGTTAATCCACTTCTCATTTTTTCTCATATTAAAAACACCCAAGCCCGAAATATTGATATAATTATTAGTGTTAAATATTTAAAGTTCTATGTTTAAAAATATCCAATACATTGATATTTAAATCCCTGGTCCAAGTTGCATATATTTCAATGGATGGTATTTGATGAAGATGGAGCTAAGAATTTTATTTTGTTAGTAAAATACATATTCTTGAACTTAATACTGGTAAATTTATTAATAAGTAAATTCTCAATTTTATTTCTAACTTATTTTATTTCACTGCCGGATCATGTACCAAATGTCTATTCCCGTAACATTTTAAATCTTTCTAGTAAGTTTTTATTTTTAGTTTTGGTTGTCCTTCATAATGAAAATTTATGTTCTTTTTATAGGTTATATTCATTAATAATTTTTTGTTTTTGTTAAGCAGCTTAATTTATTTTTCTTTAGTTATTTATTAATAAATGTTTATACCTTTATAGATTTTTTTTATCTTCTATTTGCCATTCCACATATTTATTAACGTAAAGTTTAACTACTAACAAATTATTTGACTTTTATTGTTAAATATTATTACTATTACTGTCTACTATTTTCTAAATATTTATAGTTCATCTTGTCTATGCCTAGCTCGGACAGAGACCTGAAACTTAAACCGAACCGTTTTTACTTTGTTTTTTTCACTGACTGAAAATCCCAGCCAACTTCTCTTCAATATTACCGAAATAAGTGGGTTTTTTTTCAATCAAAATACAATAATTGTTCTTTAAAAAAGGAAGAAAAAAAAACCTATTTTTGGGGGTTGGTATATAATAATTTATCATTAGCCAATATATATATATAACATACATATATAAAGTATTTATATTTATTTCCAATATAATGAACAATTTTATTTTTTTAATTGAATAATATTAACTAATCGAAAGATAAACATAAGGGATAATGCAAGAAGAAATAAATAAATGTAAAGAAGTTTGGCAAGCTGTTAAACAAATAAATTTTATTAATGAAGTTCATTAATTACGATACAATTTTTTTAAAATATATTTTTGTATATATATATTATTTTTTTATTTTTGCGATTGTAGAATAATTAACCAGGTGTACAAAAAAATCCAATTCCGTTAAAACTTCGCTATACATTCTTCTTCCTTTAAGGCACAAACATAACTTTTAAAAAATCACGACTGTACATTTTTAACTATAACATTATGTTTTTTACATTAATCTGATATTAAAATGCATCTAATTGGAAATTAACTCATAAATTATTTTTTTAGAAGGAGTTGTTTAGTCCACCGATAGATGTCAGCAGCCATCCTGCAGAAACATCCCTTAAAAGGTTCAGGACAGGGGGATGTTTTTACCTGAAGGGTCGGAAGAATGGCAGAAACTATTTCCGTGAAGAACCAATAGAGAGCGTAATAGGTATTTAAATGGTACGAACCAAATCTCGAAACCATAAACTATGTCTGTAAAAAAAAATAATGTGAATTCTTTTTGAGTGAAAACAAAAAAAAAATACCCTTTTCTGGAAGTTCCGTTCATTTAGAAAATTGATCAAAATAATCTTTATATATGCTTTTTTAATCTCTTTGTCAAAAAAATAGTTATTATTATTATTTTCTGGATTAATTTTGAAGAAATATCGAAATCAGGTTTATTATTATTTCTATTGTAATATTTTGCAGACCTATATTTTGTAAGGTTCAATTTCACATAAGCAAATACAACTATTTAAACAAAGCAAAAAAATAAATGAAATCCTCTAAAGTGAAAAAAAAAAGTTTTTTCCCCAACAGATGAATCAACTATACAGAGTGAGCAAATTCTCCTGACTGAAAAAAAAATTATTCATTTTCATGAATTCAAAGAAAAAATTACAGAGGAAAACGGTTCTTTTCCGATTTTATGAAATTGGAGTAAACGCATATATCGGATTGAAACATATATTGGACATTATGCTAAAATATCGTATAAATCTTCAATTACGCGACAATACATAATGTTTTGAGGGTCAAATTAGATGAATTGAATTTACAGATACTGTGAAATTTTAATTATTGGCAGTACGTAAATGTATGATAACTCTATGAACGTTATTAAAGAACGTTGGGTGGTTGAGCTTTATGTGTAAGTGGATACAAATTATTATATATGTTATAATATTGTCCCTAGAAATATGCTGCTTCGTCTTCAGATTGAACATGTTTCTCTTAAGTTTCAATAATGTTTTCTAACTCCTTTGTTAAATATTTCAAGTCGCACATCTTATTGACGTCACTAATACCTAATTGGAGAAACTGTTAACTTGTGAAAACCGATTATATTTTTGCATATGTTTATTTGAACGGTCCAACTCAATTAGTATTTTGAAGCAATTATTTGGTAATATATTAGTTATTAATTATTTGGTCTTATTAGTACACAAGACCTATTCCGAAGGTGCTTTCATGATTAATTTATAAATATAATATGACTTTATTTAAACAATTTTCTCCTCTGCTAGTTATTATTATTAATTAATTATTTCTCTAACTAAAGTGAATTTATTTGCTGCTAGCAGTTAAACTGCGCGTGAAGGAACACACAATCCATTTGTAATAAGTTCACGGCCTAGAAAATATCTCAATCTTTTCCTTATGAAAAACAGCTGGGGAATTCCATCTACGATCATTACTTGTTTTTCTTCATTTTTTTTTTATATCAAATATAAACAGACAAAAGTGTTTTGGAAACGTATTGTTAAATGTTATCAATGAAAGATGGCTAGAAACTGCATCATTATGTCATAATAAATAGAAAAATATGTTTTATGATACGGCGATCGTTTTCGAAACGACCCAATCCAAATATTTTCTTATATATTTAAAGAAAACTGTGCGATGCTGGTAAAGCAATTTGAATAAAGACTTGAGTGTTTAGATCAATGTGGATTTTGTTATCTGTTACATAGGAGGAACAAATAAGAAAATCAATTGGAGACACTAGCGAATCCAGGTTTTAAATTTGGGGGGGCTTCAGCAAGAAAGCTTTTATTTTCATATATATAACCATAATTAATTTGAAAAAAAAGAAAGAAAGAAACTAACTACCTGTATGACATGGCGTTTAAATAATTCTTGAAGTCCTGTTAAATTAAATTGTGATGTGTCGTTCGTTTGAGTAGCTATGAATAAAAATCATTTTTAGATCGACTTTTTGGAGAAATTAACAGAGTTTTTAAATAAGAAATTAAAAAAAAAAATTCTGTTAAACCTTTAATTGAATAGTTGCAAGGAAAAATTTCTTTATTTCTCTTATGTTTTGTTGCCTCTATCCTGTAGGGTCATTGGAAACGCCTTTAAATTACATTCTATTGTAGAGTTTTATCTCTTTTAAAAACCTTTTAAGTTTTTTTTACTGCACTTTCACTGTCTTGTAGATTTTCTTTTAGGGAAGGCAAGGGAAAATGATCTAGCCCCAAAACCACTGAAAACCATCAACAATAAAAATTTCGATAATACCGAAACGTTTTCAGTTCATTTTTTTATTTTGAAATTTTTTGCCGTATGCACTTGCGCAGCAGCGTACCTAGCAAATGTGATATATTGGTTTAGTTGCGAGTTTCCTTGATTAGATTATTTTTTTATTTATTGTAATAGGTTCCCTGGCCATTTTCTTTTTAGTCTGCGTCAATCAGGTAACATGAAGTAGGAAATAGAAAGAACTAATAAGCTAGGCATACTAGTCACACAAAAATGCCGTGGCACACCTTAAGAATTTCGAACACGCAAAAATACCGCGGCAGAGTGATTGAGACACTGGGTTAGTATTCCAAAGAAAAACGTTATTTATGGGAAATGTACTATTATATAATATAAATTGTATACTGTAATAAATTGTTGCAACAGTAAACGGTGAATTTCACTACAACGGTAAGTCTTACAAAAAAAGGTTTTGTCTAAAAAATGTAGCTAATTTTATCTACTTTAATTTTGTACAGAATGGATTTGTCTAAAAAATGCTTTCTTTTTGAGATATAGGACGAAAACTGAAAAAAAGTGCCAGCACTTGGTCAAAAAACAAAGTTCCGGGCAAAGTTTTTGCCAGCAAACTTCAAATTCGTGTTCAGCGACCCAAAAAACAAGAGGGTGAGAAAATCAAAACTATAGCAAAACTTGTTTCTGGGACTCGGTTTTTTTTGGTAATATGGACTATTATGGACTGAAGTGATTTTGAATTGTAAAGTGAAATGAAGTGTATTTGTCGTGGATGTAGGGTTTTACTGTTGGGATGCTTATCAAGTCGTATGTCGCATAATGTATAGTGTTATTTGAAATGTGCCAAGTTGCGTTGACAATTTTTTGTAAAATTTTTTATTGTGTTGTTTGTGTTTTGTTTATGTGTGTTTGTTTTGAAGATCCCCAAAGTTCTGCTCCGTATGTCCAAATTGGTCCAAGTATTTTATTCAACAAACATTTCTCTCGCGGTATGCAAGTTCGAATTTTACTTTTTGATGAGCCGTTACTACTATTATGAGTCGTTCTACTAGTCTCTCCGTTTATGTAAATCGGATAATTTTTCCAATGAATTAAGTTAACATTACGAAATAGCCAAAGAATTTATTCGAGTAATTGTAGGTGGCTACTTCAATGCAGCTGACCGACTCAGGGGGATCTCGGACAAAATTAGACCAATTAGCCCGAAGCGGAGGAAAACAATGGCAAGGGTATAAAAGAACCCGCTGAGGATATTAATATAATTATCCTCCGAGCCCAGGACCGCTTTTTGTGTCCTTTGATGGACACTTTTGCATTTCGGCCTGACAGGATCCTCTTTCTTCAGCCGCCTCTCCAGCAATATTTCAACCGCTCCAGCGCTCCCCTTTTCCCAGCGGCGAAAAAACTTCCGCCGTCCTTGTGACCCCCCCTCGATACTCGAATCAGCATTTCAATAAGATTATAGCCGAGGGGGGGAATGGTTGTGGTAATTGTTTAGTCTTACAGCTCCAGAGATTATATCTTGTTGTTGTTTTTTTTTTTTTCCGGTGATGAGTGATTAGTATTCAACACATAGAAAAGATTTGCAATTTACTTCGGAATTTTTCATCTCAGTAAACAAATTTATGATTTTGTTGTGAAGTCATTACCACACTTCAATCACTCATGTAATTTTCCGACCTCGGTACCAAAGGAAGAATATTAGAATACCTCATAGTAATTATGTAAATAAAATCAGTCAATTTGTCATTGAATAATTAAAAAAAAAAAATAACCACGAACGAGAATCATTTATCTTACGGTTTCATTCCATATCACTCCAAACCTTGAAAAACCTGATAAATAAAATAATTACTATTTATATACTTCTTAAATCACTTTATTAAAAATCGAGCTTAACTTGGTCCGAGTGGCGGTCATGAATAACATCAAAGTATTATTAGTATTAGAAACTATTTATTTAATGAAATTTCGGAGCACATTACAAGCCTGCATTAGGGCTACAAAGAAGAAGATTCTATGAAAATTAAACTAATGTAGAAGTATGAACTATAAACAATGTGAACTAAAAATTATTTATTTCTACTTTCTGGTGGTGTTTAGGCAACTTTTCTAATTATGGCAAAAGAACTATCATGAGTTTCAATAAGGCAACATTCTAAATTTGATGACAACGTTCTAATTTTTAAGCAATTTTTAGATCGACGGACTGTATCTTAAGGGATTGGTAGGTTAATGATTGTGCAAAAAAAATAGCTTATCGTCTATATACCAGCCTACATCTTTTTTACATTGGAGGGCCCTCCGCCGTTGTTCCTTGCTGGATGAATGCTGGTCAAGTAGTGGCTTCCAGTAAACCAGTCGCTCTCAGAGCTTAAGTGTTATATTTTATCTTTTAGATCTGCCCCCACCACTCGACGTAAAGCGGGAAATTTAAACCTTCCCTACCTTCCCTGGCACAACCATGTGGCTTTCAACTTAATTCAGTCAATGACATGGGTAATATTATTATATATATTTTTTAATTGTATGTATTTTTTGAATAATATAACATTCCGTCACTTGAAAAATGGCCAGATTCTCCAATCAAGCCTGTATGTCTTTTTTTGTACAAATGTATGTCTTGTTATATAGTCCCTTTGCTCAGCCTCCACTGGTCCTAAATACCAGTAATGCGGCTGAGTGAGAGGCGCTGGGATCTTCTAGAGTTCTATCTTTCCTTCCACGAGTGGGGAAAAGGCTTGGCTCGGAGATCTTGACTGAATGAATTTTGTATATATTGTATAAAATCATATGTGAATTTAAGTAGTTATCAATTTGTTTATTTTAGTTTCTTTTAGTTTATATACATTTACTTATAGTAATATTATTTTTCTGTTTATTTATTGTACATAGTGTGAATGAGCTACTCTTTTATCACCATTACTATTGTCCTTAGATGTGACAGATTGTTATATATCACAATAAGGAATTATTCCTAGAAAAAAAGTTTTTGAGATATTTTAATCCGTTAAAAAAAAAAAAAAAAAAACTCGTTATCATTTGGTTTTTGATACTATATTTTTCCATTGTTGCCTCTCTAACACGGCGTAATGTCAAAGTACAATTTTAGATTTTTCTTTAATAAAAACACAGCTAGTTAAAAATTCAAATCAGTATAACTTTTACATCATTGAAAATAAATTTACAATGCTACCTCTGATCGAATTCTTAATGTAAAGGCTTGTGATATATATAATCGACGAATAAGAAGATGGAAGATTGAAGAGGCCGTGGCAGATCACAGTTATCAGCTGCTCGAGGTGAGATCATTTCCTTTGATAATGCGCCACACGCCACAGCCTCTTGTATCGCAGTTCTGTTAAAACCTGCGCTCAGTTTATCTCGTCCAGGTAATTAATGCCCATTAATTGAGGCAAAGAGCCAAATAAGTCCAAATTTTTCATTTTTTTTTTTTTTTTTTTTTTTTTTCTTAAGCTCACATCTGTCATAATAGTACGGATAATCAGTAAATTAGATTCCATAGGTAGAACGACGAGTCTAATTTGAATTTCCTTTGACTGATTTTAAATAATTTACTAAAAATTGGGCCTGGTACTGTAAGCGAGGAAATTGTTCAGCATTTCATCCTCTCTGTCATGGGCTATAATTCAAAATTGTATCTTAACGCAACGCCGTGTTAGGGAATGGAAAAGGAAAAAAATAGTGTCGGAAACCAAATGATAACAAGTTTAGTTAAACATAGAAGATACTTAAAATGGGCCTTGTATACTGTAAGCGAGGAACATGTTAAGCGTTTCATCTTCTTTATAATGAGATATTATTCAAAATTGCATCTTAACCCAACACCATGTTAGAGAGTAGGAGAGCGAAAAACATAGTGTCCAAAACCAATGATAATGAATTTATGGAAGATATGGATTAAAATATCTCAGAAACTAAAAATCGGACCTGCATCTTGTAAGCGAGTGAAATTTTCAGCATTTCAGCCTCTTTATAATGAGGTATTATTTATAATTTATATTATTATTAATTTCGTCTTGTTGATGTTTTCGCTTCTATCCAATGGTCTAAAGGACATACCTTAGTTGTTTTTTTTTTTAGCTAAGGCCTTGCAACTTTCATAACTGCGATTTTTAGAAGAAACCTGATGAAAAAAAATATACATTAAGAACAGATTTAACTTTGCAACAGGGATATAATAGAGATTATGATAAATTAAAAACATAATTATAATAAATCTTACGAGAATCTTGCCATTCTGTTTAAAGAGTAAGCAACCATCTGTCGACTTTCTAAGCCGTTCTAATAACAAAGTATGAGAGCAGAACTGTATAATTGTTGCAGATGTCTTTGTGAATCCTAAGAAGTGGGGAGCTATCTTTATGGCGGCATTCTCGGAATATTACCGTGATAATGGAATTAATTATCTTAGGAACTTGGGTGTCGTCAGCTGTTCCCTGTAGCGGCTATGACATTAAATGTCATGACTACAGTAAAGTTACTATGAGGCAAGGTGTGTCTTTCTTTGAAAGAACTAACAAAGAAACTTAGCTTTGCAATGTAAAGAAATTCGCTTCCTGGAGAGAATATAAAGAAGGGCTTGATAGGCACCAAAGCAAGAAACTTTTATGTTATCTATAAAAAAAATATTTTTTTAAATATTAATTAGTTTACGTGAATACAAAAAAAAAAAGAAATAAAATTACTTATTTTTATTTATTTTTATTACTTTAGTAAATACCAGTTACGGATTCACGATTCAATTGAAGGACCTACTCCATATTACTCCATATTCCTCTTTTTATTTATTTATTTAGCTCACAAATAGTTCAAACAACTTCGGAAAACGAAAAATATGTTTCTTACATTTCCCTCTACTCACGAGCGGATCTAAGGGAGGCCTTCTCTCCCCCCCCCCCCATATGGTAAAATATAACCATATTTTATGTCGAAAAAAATTATCTCTTAAAGTATTATTGTTCGGGGAATTACATTTAAAAGGACTTTAGGAATCACTTAAACACTATTTCATATAGATAGTTAGTTTCTTTTTTTTTCCAAAGTAATTATCGTTATTTTTATGAAAAAAAAGCATTCGGGCTAAAGCCCTCCTTCCCCCTAAAATTAAATCCTGGATCCACTAGTGCCTCTGCTAATAATATTGTCACAGAATTGAAATAGAAATTCAATAAAAAAAGTCGATGCCTTCCTGTATATGTTTTTATTTTTTCCTTTTGCGCGATCGGTTTCGGTCTGATAAATATAAACTAACTTTAATTACTTTTGCCACGATAATAGGTTTTAAATAGTTTAACTAACCACATATATACTATATATAACAGGGTAATATGAATAGTATAACAGATGAAAGGAAATTTTATTACGGAACAAATGCCGATTTAAAAAAAAAATTAATAAATTTAAAAACATAGCTTCTATTCTCTCAATATTAGACTCTTTTGGATCAAACAAATAAGTGTTGATCAAGTACAATAATAGATTTGTATAAGTAAGAATATGAAATCATATGATTTTTTTAACTTGAGGTGAATCTCATGTTTTTCTCTAATGAACCTAAATTTAATTAATATGTATTTATAGGTCATTGAATGAAGTAGTTTCTTCTAAAAGTGGCGTATCTATAGTATACTTGGACAAGAATAAAAAAAAAAACTAAGGTGTGTCCTTTAGACCACACGATATAAGTGAACACATGAACAAGACGAGATTAATAATACGAAACATAAATTATAAATAATAGCTCATTACAAAGAGGATGAAATAATGAACATGTCCTTCACTTACAGTATGCAGGTCCAACTATTAGTTTCTGAGCTATTATAATACATATATTCAATAAAACTCGTTATCATTTGGTTTTCGACACTATTTTTTCCCGTTTCCCCTCTCTAAAACGACATCGCGTAAAGATACAATTTTGAAAAATAGCTTATTACAAAGAGTATGAAATGATGAACATTTCCTTCTCACTTTGAGTATGCAGGTCCGGTTTTTATTCTTAGAGATATTTTAATCCATAATCAAAAAAAGTTTAATTAGACGACACCAGCCAACTTTACTCAAGCGTTGCACATCGGAAATCTGATGGATCAGTCTAATTCTCTCTCCGAAAAAAAGTGTAAAACGAGCCTTAAGAAATTTTCTTCAAAAAACAAATAGATAAACAAATGAAAAATAATAATAAACCTACCTTCAGTCAGGGAGAAACGAAAAAATAAATAATTGTCGTTGTTAGTCAATACAAATAAATTGTTTATATATATAAAGAATGTTTTTATTTTTTTCAATTTATACCATTCTAAAATGCTGCAACAATTTCGGCCATCTAAAATATAAGAAAAGAGAAGAGAGTTATCATTTGGTTTTCGACACTATTTCTTCCCTTTTCGTCTCTCTAAC